TAAGTCACGCTTTTGACCGCGGGTGCTCACTCTCCATGTATGGGAACACTTCCGGAGGATTCTTCTTCGTTGGTGATCGGCGGGCGGCTTCTACTTCCGGGTGGCGGACTTGGCATCAAAAATAGGAATCGAAGATAAATATTTTGAACGATTCCGGGAAAACTGGACAGTTAGTCCCGGTTCCATACGATTCTCGATGCCCAACCCTATATGTGCTGCTGACTATCCATGCTGCTGATCTATCTCATGCTGCTGATCTATCTCATGCTGCTGATCTATCTCATGCTGCTGTGTTCATTCCTACTCATGTGCTCACACAGACTCATGTTCGTGCTGCTGTTGTTCTGCGTATTGTTTTTGTACTACTAGTGCTTAGTGTATTCTTAGTGTAGTGTATTTCTTAGATCTTGTTACTGTTTTTCTTTACAATTTATACCTTTGTTGGCTGTAACTGGGACTCTGTCCACAATAACCTCGTGATGTGAAAGAAACTTGAGCTCACACAGCGAAGTGCTCGCAGGTCACAAACACTCAGAGTCTGAAATCCAAGTCTTTTCTCAACGTCCTGGTCTGAAACAGTCAGACCTGACAGTTCTTTCATTATTATTGCTCTTAATAAATGGCACTCTCATTATAACCAACATAAAAAATACTTCAGAGTTTTAAAGATCACGAGGAAAAATTTAATCATTCCCATTTTCTATCTTTTAGTCAAATACAACGAGTCTTTAAAAGTTTTTTTTGAAAAGTATTTCAAAATACAGTGTTAACTTTGCTAAATCAAAGTTTCCTCTTTTCCTTCATTTCATAATTTAATAATAAAGCCTCTGCAGTGCTACAATTTAAAAATAAATATTAACAAATGGCAAAGGAGTAGTTACCTGGTGGTTACGCTAAATATCTTAGTTTACGCTAACAAGCTAATCAAATCATACACAGCGACATTAGTATTAAATTAAAGTTACACAAAAAACTGACACCCGACTGTTTTACAGACAGTACTGAATGTTGTGGCCGTCATGCGGCAGTGGTTAAAGTTATCATGGACTTTAAAGATTAATAAGGCTCGCTGTTGATTAGCTACGTTAGCTGTGAGCTAACAGGACATGTAGCGGGCCTTGGCCGGTGGTAGTCTGCGCGTTCAAACACATTAAACACATTAAACACATTAAACAAACATTAAACAAACATTGCTCAACACAGCTGGACTTTACGATGACAGAAACTATACAAACAAAACCACTTTCTGTCAGTGACGGTGACTAAAGAAAAGAAAAAGACGGAGCAACGCTCCCGTTACTCACCAACAAAACAGCTTCAACACGTCCAGTGAGAAGGGCCACGTTCACCAGCCATGCTTTAACTAATGAGTAACCACAGACAACCAGCCATGCTTTAACTAATGAGTAACCACAGACAACCAGCCATGCTTTAACTAATGAGTAACCACAGACAACCAGCCATGCTTTAACTAATGAGTAACCACAGACAACCAGCCATGCTTTAACTAATGAGTAACCACACT